CACAAAGCGCATTTATTATGGTTTGGATATAAGGTGTCTTCCAAAAGCTTCTGTTAATGCAGGAATATTCAGAGGAGAAATGATTAGATTATAAGAGCTATAACCTAGTCAGCCCATCCTAGTTAGAGTGGACTGACTGAATGGTTACTGTAGCAGGTGAGGCATGGCTGGGGGCAGTGGGTCACTGGAGGTGAGCCCTGGAAATGTTCATCTCTCCTGAGGCTCCTTCCCTTCCGTTCTGCTTCCTGGCTGCTTTGAGCAGAATAGCTCTCCTTGGCTGCACCCTTCTACCATGATTTTCTGCCTCATATTGAGCCCAGAACAATGGAGTCAGCCAATCATGGACTGAGACCCTGAAACTGTGAGCCCCAAATAAACTTTTCTTCCTCTAAGTTATTCTTGTCAGGTATTTTGCTCAGTGTGATGAAAAGCTAACTCGAACAACATGTAAGTGTCATCTTCAAACCAGGCAGAATGTCATGTCAGGAGGTAGGCTCTGTATATGCTTGTCACATGCTTGATTTGAGCATTGTAGTCATCCTTCCCTTTAATTAAACTGCAACCCAGACACCATATCATACCTCTCTGCAAACCCAGGATCAGCACAATGCCTCCTTCTCACAGAAAAGGTGGCATAACCATCTATTATCAACAATAAGTGTATGAGAAATCAGATTTTGTTTTCAACTTGTTTTTAAAGACGAGGTTAAATCTAGAAGCATATGGCAGATTATGACCAATATATATAAGCAGGAACATGGAACTAATTAACTGAGGAATGTTTAGGGACAGAAGAAATGAGATGAATTTATCTTTAGGCCAGTCTTGAGTATCTATAGATGATAAGAAGAGTAATTAAGTGATCAACACAAATCATAATGCCAATTTTCACAAAATTCGATTTAATAACTAGATGATCCCATTGCATTCAATTATCAAATACTTTCAAAAAGAATTTGGAACATAATTTAATACATAATTTAAATAACAATTAACCCATGAAAGAGATGGATACCCAGCCCAGAGATAATTGCCAAGCACTTCTAATAATATTATAAAACAGGATGTAAAGATGTATTTCATCATTTAAACTATAAAAATGGTTCTAAAGGATAATATTCTTAAAGAGTTTAATGCCTGGAGAGATAAAATTCTCAAGGAGGATTCCAAGCTCACTCAACTTCTGAGGGAATTTCTGGTGGAGACATAGGACAAAACAAGATTGATAAGACCGTTAAACCATCCAAGTATTCCCTGAATTTGAAAATTCAGAAGGTTAGTTTGGTTTCTCAGGGGCTTTCTCTCTCCACCTCCATTTCTGCTCATTAATACATTGTATCAGCCTAGAGACAACTAACTTGAAAATGAACTCCAAGTTTCATATCATCCACTAAAAAAATAACATTTTTGATATTATGAATATACCTTCTTGAGGGTAACTACATTCTGGCCCCAGAAGTTCATTTCTTGCAACTTTGAATGACAAAACAACGGATGTAGAAACAATCTTACTCTAGGAAAAAAAACCAAACAAACAGCAATTTCATAGTGTTATTTCACAAAGTGAAGCAACAGAGCTAATGAAATTAGGGAGAAAGACACAATCCTAAAGTGGCTGGGTAACTTGATTTTATCCCATGGCCATGCTCAAACCCAGGAGCCATCTTACTGTTACAAACTAGGGCACCCTGTAGGAATACTAAGGACAGACAAGAAAATCCTCTACCATGGCTCTGAAGAAAACCTTGAAGTACAGGCATTAGAAATGCCAGACCAGGACTGTTACCTCCAGAAATGAGAAAAAAGAAAATAGCAGGCAGAAGTTTGAGAATTACAAGATGATATATTTTGTCTTCATTATCTGACGTTCTGGCTTCTACTTGCTCCACTCTGTTAGTGATACTCTCATTTGAGTTTTTAATTTGGTTTACAGTTTCCTTCATTTCTAGAATTATTGTTTGATTTTTTTTAATAATCTCTATCTCCTGATAAAGATGCTTAATTTCTTCTTTTATCTGTTTATGTAATTCATTTTGAATGTGTTCTTTCACTGTTTGAATTTGCTGTCTCATATCCTCTTTAAGGTTCCATTCCATCTGTCTAAGGTATTCCTTGAGTTCTTTATTTGACCATTTTTCTGATGCCTCTAGGTCCTCCTGAATATTTAGGCTGTCCTGCATTGTTTGTACTCCTTTTCTTCCTTGCTTTTTCATGCTGCTCATGTTACTTCTTGTTCTGTTTGACTGCTGAGTTACTGTTTACTCCTATAAATTTATTTGATGCTTGGGAGGAAAGGTATTAAAAGGGAAGGGAAGAAGTCACTGTCACCGCCGGTTTCAATGGAGTTATCTCCTCCGCCGCATTCTGGTGACGTCAGTTCTCTGCCATGGTGGTATCCCATGCAAAAGGCGACAGTTCGTTCCCTTTGCCAGGTGACGAATGCAACGGGTGGGTCCTGACTGGCTCTCCCAAGCCCGGTTTCAATCCTGTGGCCACTGCCTATGAAGGCTCGGTTGGCATTAACCTCCATAGGATCAGAAGGGTCGACCAGTTGTTTCAGCAGGATCCTTTAGTGCTGAGTCACAGCAGTTTGTCTGCTAGAAGGAGGCGAACGGGAGCTTGAATTCAGCTGATCCGGGCTCTGTGTGTGTTCTGAGAGGCCCAGACTGTTCGCCCCAGATCCACGTCAGCTCAGCATTGCCTAGTGATCCTGAGCAAACAGCATTTAGATGGTTTGCGACTCCCTATGCCCGCGCAGCTGAAGAGGTCAGAGACTTGATCTCTCTGTGCCCACAGCCATGTTGCAGATCTCCGAAGTTTGAGAATTAAAAAAGAAAAAAAATCACTGAAGCAAAAATTATAAGCATTGGGATTCTGTTTAAATTCATGTAACAAAAATACAAATAGCATCTTCACTAAATAGGAAGAAATGTTTATTTTTCACATACACAGAGAGGGCTAGAGACAGGAAGTAGGAAGTCTAGTTATAAGTTGGCGTGGTGGTCCCACAGCATTATTAAGACCAAGATTTCTGCACTGGAACCTTAATGAGTATCTTTATCTGCTTCTGGACCCTTAATTAAGAGCATCTTTCATCTTCATGAATGCAAGATGTCTGCTATATCCCCATGCTGACCCTCCAGTTGTGAAAAGAGTGGAAGAACAAAGAAAAAGGACAAACTGCATTAAGCATCCCTCCCCACTTAATTATCACCCAGACTTCTATAAGATTTCTTGCATATTGTCCATCTCCTCTTCACCTTGGAAACTAAGTTGCATGAAGGTAGATTTTTTTTTCTCTTGCTCACTGATATCTAGCTATTAATACTGGATATAGAGTTAGTGCTCAGTAAGTATTTTTGAGTGAATAAAGGAATGAAGCAATGACTGTGATTGGAATGTAGTAATAAGCTTACATGAAACCAACCCAGAAGTCAGGCACTTTGAAGCCCAGAGTACTCTTGATTGACAAGCTCTGCCTTCACTGCCTCCTAAGGATGTTGCCTTTTTCCAAGAAGTGGGTGTTTTCAGTCCCTGGATGCTTGGGACTACACTCAGTGAGATGGCATATTAAACGCATGAAAATCTGTGCCTTTAAATACTAGTTCAGAAAAATTATTTTAAAACATGAGAGTTTTTAAGAGAATTCATATGGAGTGGGTGCTTCTAAGGAGGATTTCTGATTACAAAATCTCAAAAAGTAATTGTTCATTGGATTAAAAACTCTTCTGAACTTGACCTTGCAGAAAAGGGCATATTTTAGACTATCTAATAAATAAATGTACCTGCATTTAAATTTTTTCTCTACAAAAATGTTAAAAGGAAAGGTTTCAAAACATAAATCCAGTGCCCGAGTGAATTGGCTGCAGTTTTATGATCAACAGTAAAAGCTGTCATCTGGTTTGTCAATTATACACAAACTAAAAGGTCTTTGAGGAGGTCTCCACACAGAGGACTTTAATGACTTACAAAAAGTCTACATCAGAATATGTGTCAAGGAACAGCTAATTAATAAGAGCCTAGTAAGGAAAGACTGACATTAATGTAAATTAATGGCATTATGGAGTATAGCAACAATCTGCAATTGAAGATTTACATAATCAGTCATTATAGTTCCCCTGTTGTCTCTGGGGTCAATAATGTGCAGTTTTAAGACATGCTAATACATATTTACTCATTAATCTACAATGCCTTCTAGGAGAGAGTCTGGGTCTCTGATTGAATTAATTCATATTTAAATTATAATAGCAGATAATTGCTTCACAGATTGGAAGAAAAATGCATGAACTCCAAAGATATATACTAAATATAGGTCATTTATATAAGTCTTTGCTTTTCCAATTTATGTAGTAAGATAGCTTATGATCTACCAAAACATCATCATAATTAAAGGCTCCATTGAGGCGGGATCCCAGATCTGTATTTGCCTCAGAATGCCTGAAGAGACTGTGAAGGGTGTCTTTGGTGAGTGTGGAGGAGGCAGAGAATGGAGGTGGGAAGGAAGAGATGGATTTATTATCTTTTATTTGGTCATAAAATTACAGCAGAGTCTCAAAGCAAAATGCCAACGATGATGAGAACAAATTATTCCAGGTCCTAGGTATTCTCTATGACCCTTAATAGTGAAAAATCACTAAGTGATAATTATATTTGACACTTTGAAGTAAGTAGTCTAATTTTTTGCTTCTAAATTACCATAATATATTACAGAAATGAATTTAAAATGAAGCTTTCTACTGTGATATGGCCAATCATATTGACCTACTATTTATATAAATTTAATATTCCCTAAACTATATACTAACCAGAGATATTTGTTCCTAATTATTACAAGAGTAAATTTCCTGTATGCTACATAATATATTTTCCTAAATGTCAATGGGTTATTCTGATGGCCTTTACAGTCCAACCTGGAACATGAAAGATACATGGGTAACAGTGACTGTGTCATAGCCAGAATTACCTGTGCATACATGAAAGCTAAGCACTGCTTCTTAATGCTAGAGATGGGGGTCACATTTTTGCTTAAAGATGCAAGTACAATAGCATATACTTTTCTCTTGGAAGCTAAACAAAATGTTTACACATTCCCAAATTGCTCTATCCTTTTGGACGAATGACCATTTTTGCTTTGCTGGGGTTGTCTGAGCCAACGTGAGGGAATTTATCATCTTATGATTGAAATGCCTTTTAAACAGGCTGCAAGGCATTGCTGTCTCGGCATTTGGCTATACCAACACTTCATTTAGGGATGAGCATTAATCTCTCATTTGCATGGACACTGACTTCTCTCCTCAAATGACATTAATAGTCATTATAAATCCACTTTTTACTTGCTAGCACTATGCCAAGATGGAATGCTATGGGAAAGCATTATATGGAAATTGCTTTGGACAGCCAGCCTATGCATGCAGTCAGCACCATTCTATGTACCTGCCAGTCAGAATTTGATATAAAAAAAAGTGGGACATAGAACACATGCACAAAAATTTTTTTAAAATCATAATTTTTGCATAAGTTAAGGAATGCCTGATGCATAAAAAATAAAGAGAGATGGATTCAATTGACTGTGATTGGAAAAGATGCGTCAATGCTTTCCCACTGTCTTCAAAGTTCAAAATCAAGCAAGATTTTTTTTTGAGGAAATGAAAAAATAGGGTATAATGTGTAATCATAAATTATTCTTAGAAAAAAGAAGTGTGTGAGATCAACAGCACTAAGTAATTTTAACTTTTAAGTTTTATAAATTTGAGGGCTGTGCCCTAGATGAAATGGTTGCATTCTGTATTAATTAGCCCTTTTAAGTTGCAATAAGACATGTTGGGGTCAAGACTTCCATAAGAGACATGTAGAGAAGGTAGAAAACACGGTAATATTTGGGCCTATTCCCTAAATAATCTTTTTTATATAGGCATTGAAAAAATATCACTAAAAATCAAACATCACACAAAAAATTCACCTGGTTGTAGGTCTAGTATGATTTTCCACAGTGGCCAATCTTCATGATAGTGTTCTTTATTCTTACAGGCTGAGGTTATTTCACTTTTGTTACTCTTTCATAGGATCGATCTTTCCTGAACACTCCCTCCCGGTCCCTGCACCGAACACACACACCTTTTTTTTTTCTTACAACATAAGGTGAAGATTGCTACACAGATAGCTCCTTCTTCCTAGAGAAGTGTGGTTTAAAATAATGAACACTGGGAATCTACAAAGAGATCTGGACCTTCATGAGAGACAATAACCTAAACTTTCTCAATTCCACCTGATGCTGGGTTAGAAACCACAAAAAGTCATATCTGATTTTAGCCCCTTGGCTAAGTCACACATACTTTACATTGGAAAATAATTAATCAGGCACAGATGTTTTTTCTTCTAGTCACCTATAACTAGAAATCAGAAGAAATTTGAATATAGAAATGTTATGATCCACAAATTAATGCTTTTTCATTCCTGCTAAATTAAGTTTTCAGAACAAAAAGAACAACAAACCAGAACATTCCTAAAATCTAATGTCAATACTGCCATTCTATACATGTAGAAAGTCTTTATATAGATATGCTTATGAATCCCTAGTCTCTTCATTTATAAAATTAAAATATAATTTTCCCTTTTTCAAGGATGCATATGAAAAATTCCATCCTACCTCCTCTACTTACCTCCCACTATTAATTAATGGTTGGGATGAGATTTTTAACTCAGGTGTTCTTTGACTTCAAAACCCAAGTTCTAGGCTCCTGTCCTTCTGGAAAACTCTCTCTTCTATTTTTATGAGGTAATAAATAGTATATTGATATATTAGAATTTTAAAAAAGACTTACAGAAATATGAATCTCAACAATTTGAAGCTATTAACTTGATGAATGATGTATAATGATAGAACATGAATTGTATAGCACCTGTTCATAATTTCCTGAATAATTGGACAGCTCATTCATTATCTTGGTCCTTTTAGCATCCTTTGGGTATTCTAAAGGCACAGTGGTTCTGGGACCAGCCATGTTAAAATTAACAGAATCCTAAATCATCTAACATGGCTTCAGAGTGGGATGGATGTGTTTCACCTTAAAATGGCTGGAAATTTTACATCTTCACCTAAATGAATGGATTAAATCTTAGTTAAAATTTTCATGTTCACATGAAACAATCCTCCCTTTGTTTTATCTAAGAGCTTTAATTTTCTTAAGTATTAAGGTTAGTCAGCATACTAGTTTTCCATTGCTGCTATAACAAACAACTATAGTTGCTGAATGCATCCCAAATTTGTCATCTTACAACTGAAACCACTACAGGTTTCTCTAGGTTGGACCAGAGATAGCAAGTTTACACTCTGTCAGAAGGCTCTAGGGGCAAAAATCTCTGTCTCTGCCTTTTTTAGCTCTTTGAGCTGAATTCCTTGGCACATGGCTCTTTTCTTCATCCTTAAAGTGGATCATCTTTAAGTCTTTCTTTACTGCCATCATTTGTAGCCCTCATTCCAATTCCCAGCCTCTATATTACAAGAAACCCTGTAATGGCATTGGGCCCACTCAGAAAGCATAGGATAAGCTCTCCATCTTAAAATACTTAATTTAATTATATTTGCAAGTTCCTTTTGCCATGTAAAGTAATCTTCACAGGTTCTGGGATTAGGATGTGGACACCGTGGCGGAGGGACTTACTATTCAATCTACCACAGACAAATTTTTCAATTTGACATTGTGATACAATGGAAATAGATTTTAGGGTGTGTCTTAGTCCATTTTGCAATGCTATACTATAGGCCTATAGACTGGGTAATTTATAAAGAACAGAAATTTCACAATGCTGAGACTGAGAATTCCAAGATCAAGATGTGAACATTTGGAAAGTACCTTCTTGCTGTGCCATCTCATGGCAGAAGGCAGAAGGGCAAGAGTGGGCCAGAGAGATCAAGAGTGGGGCACATACAAGGAAACCACTCCCATGATATGAACCTGCTCCTGCAATTTAGAAAACAAAACAAAACATTAATATCTTCATGAGGGTAGCTTCCTCACTATCCAAAATCCTCCCACTTTGCTGCGTTGGATAAAGTTTCAATGCATGAACTTTGAGGGACAGATTCAAACCTAGGAGAGTGTATTATTGGTGTAGAACTATTTGTGAACATTTTAGGAGTGGTTTATTTTCAACCAAGCTAATTGTAAATAGTCATTATTATACAATAAGTACTTTCTTTGGGAAAGTTAATAATAAACTAAGCAACAGTAATGAATTATGCTCCCCTTCCTTGAGATATGTACAATAATTGTTCTCCAAAGATATACTGCTATTCACCTCATTGAAAAAATAAATAGGAGTCTTTCCTCAAATGGTAAAGAATAATAAAAATAAAAGCATTTAATATTAGCCACTTGTGATTCAGGGGTTTTGATTTACAGTTTTAAAAGCTTTTCAGAAAACCAGGAAGTTGCAATAATATTTAAATCAATGTCATTCAGATGTCTTTGCAAGGCAAACAAAGCTCTATCAATTGAACAACCAAACCACTGTTCAAATTAATCAGTAGGAACTTGATAAATTCCACTGATGTAGAAAATTAGCACTTTGCATGTTTCCCAGATTTTGATTTCATTTGGGTGTCTGGTCATGAATTATAACCACTCTTCTTGGACTCGAGCTATTTCACTTGAAATCCATTATTTCTAGCAGAATTATGAGTCTTGTTAGGGAAATGCCAGCTATTTCCATTTTGAGCATCTGCACTGCAGTTCTATTATTAACATGGAGCTCATTTGAAAAAGGGAAAAGAATTAGATTTGTGTCTTTGGGGCGGTGGGGGAGGGGTGGGTGGTGGTGAGTGGCGCTTCAGTGAAACAAACAAGCTCACAAGGCTGCTTCCAATTGACACAGCTGTCATGTAAATATCTGTCCCTGCTGTATAGCTAAGGGATCCTGGGCTTAAAGACCTTGTAGCCATATGTAAACAATGCAGTGCTGATGACAGGTTTACAGCACCACGGAAAACATGCGCAGCTGTTTCATCCTCGTTCCTAGAGTGAGATACAAATGTTCGGGAGGCAGATCGCAGATGCTTAGGACTGAGTTTTCAGGCTTACCGGGCTAGTTCTGCTTCTGTGATGAGCTTTGCCTCACTGCCTCCTGGGTCATGCCATTCCAGCCCTGGGTGTGAACCCTTCTGTGCAGGCATGAGCTGAGTCTCTCCCTCCCTCCCTTCCTCTTCCTCTCCTCCAACTTCAGCTGGATTGTTTCCCTGTAGGGGAGAGGCAAAGCTTCTCTTTCACCACGGGACAAGTGGAGGCGTGCTTGAGCCACACCTCTGCATGCTGCATTGATCACCTGACTCTCCAGGTCAAAGAATCAAAGGGGCTAATGATCTACATTGGATAGCTCATTGACTCTATTCCCTGTTATTGCTGTCTTCTGTTCACAGCTTTCTTTCCAGGGTTTAGCCCTGGCTCCTTACAAAAGAATCAAACTGGAAACCAAGTTTGGGCAAAGGTAAAGGCTTAGTAAAACTGAAAGTGCCTGTAGATGGGAAATGGAAAGCAATTAACCACGCACAAGTCAAGTAGGAGGAAAAGTTTTGGTCCCTTTCCCAGCTCTGGAATCAAACCCAGGTGACTGCGCACATTTTTCAGGCCAACAAATACCTGGTGTTGACCTTTGGATATTTATCTGGATTCCCCAAGTAAACATAATATTTCACAACCTGAATTATTCAGAGTCCAAAATTATTTTATGTGTTCTAGCCACATTATGTATTTATGGACACAAGTCCAATAATAAGGCTGACTTGTAAACAAGTACTTTTTTTTCTTATTTGAGTTCTTTTCTTAAATAAAAGAAATCAAAGTGTGATCAAAGTATCTGAAAAAATCAACTCTGCTATCAAACCAAATCAATTCAAATCCATTCATAGCCATTTTGTAAATATGAGATTATGGGCAAGTTACCGAAGCTATCTAAGCTTAAGAGTCCTTATTGTAAAATGGGGATAACTAGAGTAATTTTATCTAAGGATCCTTTTGAGCACTATCAGGACAATCCTTACAGTCTTTAGTTTAATTTCTGGCACACAAAATTCCCCTATTAAATATGAGCCATGATGATTATTCTTATATTTTGAAAAATAGTGTTGTAAACTGGAAACCCTTATGAAAAACAAAAAAAAAAGTTACCAATAATCCATCCATATATGATTTCCTAACTTCCTGTCCTGTAGCCTCCAGAGATTGAACTTTCAACTACAGTATCCTCTGAACTCCCTCATCTTTCCTGGATCCAAGATGCCATATGTTATCCAGGGAACCTCCTTTTCCTTCAAAAATCTAAAATTCTTATCCTAATCTTTCTCAAAAATGCTGCAGCAAGTTCATAAATAAAAGCAGCTCAGAACTCAGGTGCAGCATTTATGAGAAGGGAGTAGAAGGCTCTAATTGATGCATCAGACATTTTAGGTCATTTAGGAGTATGATTCCAAATGCTCAGCTACATTCTGAATTGAAAAAGCTTGGGTAGATAGTGAAAGGAATTTAAACAGTCAGAGAATGTTTTTCCTTTGGGACAATGTGTTCTGAGTTCCAACAAGTGATATAAAAGTCAGCCTTGGAACACAACACTTCCTTAAATTGATCAATTATTAAGGCTCCACAAAATAGGGCTTTTTATAAAAATGTTCTATGATTCCACAGAAAGACAAATCTACTTGCACTTCAAAATAAATAAACACATTTTCCTACATCTTTTAAAAATAAAACTTTATGTTTTAGAGAAGAGTGTTAGATTTTTATTGCTGTGATCAAAGTATCTGAAAAGAACAACTTAGAGGAGGAAAATTTATTTGGGGGTCACAATTTCAGAGGTTCATTCTATGGTCAGCTGATCCATCGATCTGGGCCTGAGGTAAGGCAGAACATCATGGTGGAATGACATGGCACAGGAAAACTGCTAAGCTCGTGGCAGCCTGAGAGCAGAGTAAAAGAAAGCAAGAAGCCAGGGACAAGATATAATCCTACATTCTCCAGAAGCATCCCACCTGTTTTCAGTTACCACCTAGTAATCCATTCAAATTATTATTATTTTTTTTTTTTTGGTAAAACACCGATATTCAAATCTTTTTTTTTATTGGTTGTTCAAAACATTACAAAGCTCTTGACATATCATATTTCATACATTAGATTCAAGTTGGTTATGAACTCCCAATTTTACCCCAAATACAGATTGCAGAATCACATCAGTTACACATCCACATTTTTACATAATGCCCTATTAGTAACTGTTGTATTCTGGTACCTTTCCTATCCTCTACCATCCCCCCTCCCTCCCCTCCCATCTTCTCTCTCTACCCCATCCACTGTAATTCATATCTCTCCTTGTTTATTTTCCCATTCCCCTCACAACCTCTTATATGTAATTTTGTATAACCATGAGGGTCTCCCTCCATCACCATGCAATTTCCCTTTTCTCTCCCTTTCCATCCCACCTCATGTATCTGCAACTAAGAACATTCAAATTATTAATCCTTGAAATAGATTACACAGAGATGAGGTTTTAGCTCTCATAATCTAATCACTTTGTCTCTGAGCATTCCTGCATTGCTTAACACATAAGCTTTTGGGGTACACCTGGTATGCACAGCATTACAGTTTTAGATTTGTGACAGAATTGGGCAAAAATATAAAGTTCTCATATCCCTCCTATTCCTGAACATGCACAAACTCGCTCACTATCAACATCTCACATCACAGTGATGCATTTGTTACAATAGATCAACCTACATTGACACATCATTATTACTCAAAGTCCATATTTCATGTTGGAGTTCATTCTTACTGTTGTGTTATATGGGTATTACAAATGTGTGACATGTATCCACTGTTATAGCATCATACAGAATAATCTCACTGCCTAAAAAATCCTATGTTTCATGTATTTACCTTCCCTCCCCATTAACTCCTCACAACCATCACTGATTTTCTTTTTCCCCCCGTCTCCTGATTTTGCCTTTTCCAGAATGTCATAGAGTTGAAATCATATAGTAAGCAATTAAAATTGAATTCTTCCACTTAGTAATATGCACCTAAGTTTTCTCTATGTCATTTCATGGCTTAATACTTTATTTCTCTTTAGTGCTAAATAACATTCCATTTATCCATATAAATGGAAGTATATCCATGTCTGAATATACTTCAGTTTAGATGTTTACCTCCTGAAGGACATCTTAGTGACTTTCAAGTTTTAGAAATTATTAATAAAGCTGCCATAAATCTATGTGTGCATATTTTTGCATGGACATAAGTTTAAAGTTTATTTGGATAAAAGCCAAGGAGCATAATTGTTGTGTCATATGGCAAGAAAATGGGTAGTTTTCTAAAAAATTGCTATACATCCTCCAGGGTGGCTATACTATTTTGCCATATAGCAATTAATGAGAATTCTCATTGCTCCATGTTCTTGTCAGCATTTGATATTTTCAGTGTTTTGGATTTTGGCCAGTTAACAGGCATGTAAATGTATTTCATTGTTGTTTTAATTTTCAGTTTTCTAATGTTATGTGGTATTGAGCATCTTTTAATTTCACCTTGCCATTTCTTTAACTTTTTGGTGAGATATCTCTTCAGGTCTTTTGATAGTTTTTTAATTGAGTTGTCATTTTCTTATTGTATATTTTTATAAGTTCTTTATATATTTTACATAACACTCCATTATTAGATGTCTTTTGCAAATATTTTCTCCTAGTCTGTGGCATGTCTTCTGATTCTCTTGGTAACACCTTATGCAAAGCATAAGTTTACATTTTAATGAAGTATAGCTTACTGATACTTTCTTTCATAGATCATTCTTTTGGTATTGTACCTAAAAGGTCATCATTAACCTCGAGGTCATCTAGATGTTCTTCTACATAATTTTATTGGAGTTTTATAATTTTTCATTTTATATTTAGATCTATGGTCCATTTTAATTTTTGTAAGCAATGTAAGAAATTAGTGATGGTTGCTAGAAATTAATGGGAAAGGCAAGATACATGGAATACAATCTGGTCTCTGATTAAATTTATTTTTTTTCATGTTAATATCCTATTGTTCCAGTACCATTTGATGAAAGATTATCTTTTCTCCACTAAAATGTCTTTTCTCCATCATCAAAGATCAGTTGATTCTATTTTTGTGAGTTTATTTCTAGGCTCTATATTCTATCCCATTATTTTGCCAATTCTTATGTCAGGAACAGACTGTTTGATTTCTATAACTTTATAGGAAGTCTTAAAGGTGGGTAGTGTCATTTTTTTAATCTGTTCTTCTCTTTTTAGTATTATGTTAGCTAATCTGTGTATTTTGAATCTCCATATAAGTTTTGAATCAGTTTTTCAATACCCTCAACACAACTTGCTAGGATATTTGGCCAGGATTGTGTTAAAGCTATAAATCAATTTGTAGAAAATGATATTGAATCTTCCTATCTATGAACATTAGCTACCTTCCCATTTAATTCTTTGCTTTCTTTCATTAGTATTATAAAGCTAGTATGTATTTTGTTATACAGAGCTAGCATGTATTTTATTAGACTTATACCTTAATGTTTCTCTTTTTCGCTGGGTAATATAAATAGTATTCTATTTTTAATTTCAAATTCCACTTGATCATTCACTAGCTTATAGGAAAGTCATTAACTTTTGTATATTTTAACCTTGTATCCTGTAATCTTACTATAATCACTTATTATTCTAAGAATTGTGTCATTATTCCAAGCAGGTTTTATATTATTGTCAATTCTTTGAGGTTTTCTGCATACGAAAATGCAATTTAACATCAATATTTTCTAGACTCTCAACACATTTCTGCATTTGTTAAACCCAGTGTTCTCCACATTATGCACAAGGTATAATAGAATAAACACTAGTTAATTGGTAATATGTTCTTTGGATATTTTAGGTTAAGGGTAGAAAAATAATTCACTAAGACATATTTTAACACCTTCTTATGAGTGCTAATACCTTTATTAACAATATAAGAGCCATCCTAGACCATTGATCAGAAAACTGCATCTAAGCAGTACTTGGTATTACTTTTTTTGCATTTATTTTTATGGTAACCATACATTTCTGAAAGATGGTATTGATTTTCCACTGATGATATTGATTTTATCCTTACTTTTTAAATAAATGTTTATGTGTAAGCCTTAAGTTGATATAAAGTAAACAATTAAATGTGAAGATTACATGTGATCTGGCAAAGGT